TGGAGGAGACTGAAGAGGTGAGGTGTGGAGGAGACTGAAGGGTGAGGTGTGGAGGAGACTGAAGGGGTGAGGTGTGGAGACTGAAGGGGTGAGGTGAGGAGAAGACTGAAGGGATGAGGTGAGGAGGAGACTGAAGGGGTGAGGTGTGGAGACTGAGGGGGTGAGGTGAGAGACTGAAGGGATGAGGTGAGGAGGAGACTGAAGGGGTGAGGTGAGGAGACTGAAGGGGTGAGGTGAGGAGACTGAGGGGGGTGAGGTGAGGAGAAGACTGAAGGGATGAGGTGAGGAGGAGACTGAAGGGGTGAGGTGAGGAGGAGACTGAAGGGGTGAGGTGTGGAGACTGAAGGGGTGAGGTGAGGAGACTGAGGGGGTGAGGTGAGGAGAAGACTGAAGGGATGAGGTGAGGAGGGAGACTGAAGGGGTGAGGTGTGGAGACTGAAGGGGTGAGGTGAGGAGACTGAGGGGGTGAGGTGAGGAGAAGACTGAAGGGATGAGGTGAGGAGGAGACTGAAGGGATGAGGTGAGGAGAGACTGACTGAAGGGGTGAGGTGAGGAGGAGACTGAAGGGGTGAGGTGTGGAGACTGAAGGGGTGAGGTGTGGAGACTGAAGGGGTGAGGTGAGGAGACTGAGGAGGGGTGAGGTGAGGAGAAGACTGAAGGGATGAGGTGAGGAGGAGACTGAAGGGGTGAGGTGAGGGGTAGAAAGATAGATTTCTGTGTCACCAGCATAGAGATGGTACTTACAGCATTCTAAGTGAATGTTCTCTTTCTTCTTCCATCTGCTGGCCATATTGGGGTATTTTATTTCTGCACCCCACAGCTGGCCATGGAACAATTCATGTCGCTAATATCGGCGCCCCCTATTGGAGTGTGTGAGAGTCTCTGGTGTTTCTTGTCTGGATCACGTAGGAGGAATTTCGGTGTCAGAGGAAATTTTAGTGCGGAGAACGGATTCTGGTGATGAAGCAGTCATCTGCTGATTTGTAGGAAGGTGTCATTTGATGTTTTTCTTAGTTCGGAAATCTGAGTCATGAGATACGGAATGGTCTGACACGGATCGCAAAATATAGGGAGATGAGTCGGTGCCAAAATACAATGTGGATAATGTACAGCTCCAGATACGCTGATCTTCAACAGATACACATTGATCTCTCCTGAGCTACAGCCCACTACCCCTACCCCCTTCAGGTCTCGGCCTCTCCAAAATCCTTCTGTCTCTGCCTCTCCAACCTACATCCTTCTGTCTCTCTTCCTCTCACCCTCCTCCCTACCTCTTCTGAAACCTCATTCCTCTGACCCTACAACTTTTAGAGTCTTGTCCCTTTGTTCCTACCTCTTCTGGAATCTCATCCCTCTGTCCCTGTCTCTTCTGGAGCCTCATTTCTTTGACCATACCTCTTCTGGAACCTCATTTCTCTGACCCTGCCTCTTCTGGAACCTCATTTCTTTGACCCTGCCTTATCTGAAAGCTCATTCTTCTGACTCTGCCTCTTCTGGAAGCTCATTCCTTTGACCCTGTCCTCTTCTGGAACCTCATTCCTCTGACCCTGCCTCTTCTGAAAACTCAGTCCTCTGACCCTGTCTCTTCTGGAACCTCAGTCCTCTGACCCTGTCTCTTCTGGAACCTTGGTCCTCTGACCCAACTTCTTCTGGAAGCTCATTCCTCTGACCCTACAACTTCTAAAGTCTTGTCCCTCTGTTCCTGCCTCTTCTGGAATCTCATCCCTCTGTCCCTGCCTCTTCTGAAACCTCATTTCTTTGACCATGCCTCTTCTGAAACCTCATTTCTTTGACCATGCCTCTTCTGAAACCTCATTTCTTTGACCATGCCTCTTCTGGAACTTCATTTCTCTGACCCTGCCTTATCTGGAAGCTTATTCTTCTGACTCTGCCTCTTCTGCAAGTTCATTGCTCTGACCCTGCCTCTTGTAAAGTCTCGTCCCTCTATTCCTGCCTCTTTTGGAGTTTTATCTCTTTGTCCTTACCTCTCTGGAGTCCATGTCCTTCTGTCCTTGCCTCTTTAAAGTCTCATACCATTGACCCCACCTGTTACAGAGTCTAATGCCCCTCTGTCCTCTGCCTCTTCTGGAACCTAATTTATCTGTCCATGCCTCTTCTGGAACCTCATTCCTTTGTCCCTGCCTTTTCTGGAACCTAATTTCTCTGTCCCTGCCTCTTCTGGAACCTCATTCCTCTGTCCCTGCCTCTTCTGGAACCTAATTTATCTGTCCATGCCTCTTCTGGAACCTCGTTCCTTTGTCCCTGCCTCTTCTGGAACCTCATTTCTCTGTCCCTGCCTCTTCTGGAACCTCATTTCTCTGTCCCTGCCTCTTCTGGAACCCCATTTCTCTGTCCCTACCTCTTCTGGAACCTCATTCCTTTGTCCCTGCCTCTTCTGGAACCTCATTCCTCTGTCCCTGCCTCTTCTAGAGTCTCATTTCTCTGCTCCTGCCTGTTCTGGAATCTCCTTCCTCCGTCCCTGCCTCTTTTGGAGTCTCATTCCTCTGCCCCTGCCTTTCAGGAGTCTTATCCCTCTGGCCCCAATTGTGGAGGTGTGTCCATTGATCCCCCATCTTCTGCATATGTATCCATTCATACCCTCCTCGGAAGTTTTATCCCTCTGACCCTTTCTTGTGGAGATGAATCCTTTCAGCCTTCTTCTTCTGGAGACACGCCTCTCCCTCTTTCTGGAGTCTCATCCCTCTGTCAATTTTCTTCTGAAGTCACATTCCTCAATCCCCCTGTTCTGGAGATGTATCCCTATGATCCCCCTTCATACCCTCTTCTCATGTCTGTCACCCTCATCCGTCTGTCAGTTTTCAGTTGGAATCAGTCTCTTCTGTAGCTGTATTCCTCCTCCTCCTCCTCCCCTTCTAGAGCCACATTCCGCAGTTGTCACCAGCAGGGCCGTAGATAAGGGGGTACCAGCAGTCCTCCTGTACGGGGCCCAGGCCAGCAGGGGGGCCAGGTAGCTGGGTGAATTGGATGTGGGCAGGGAGATTGGTCAGCACAGTGGGGGGGGGGGGATTACTGGAACCGATCCCCTGTATGGCTCCCTCTGCAGCGGCTGAAAGCCGGCTTCTTCTCTCCATACAGGGGATCGGTTCCAGTAACTGCCCCCCACTGCACCCATGACCTATCCCTGTACACCATACGTTTTCCCCTGCTGCCCAGACCCCCCTGTGTGCCCCCCACCCTGCAGTGCTGCCGGCTTCCCTCCTCTGCTTCCCCCCGGCAGCTACAAGCACACATTAAGATCCTACAGGATGAAGTGTGGGGGAGGGGGTCAAGTAAAAATGTCACAATTACCAGCTCCAACTTTCCTGAATGAACACAAGCGGGACCGATCACTCGCTGTGTTCATTCATAACTGAATCTTTTTTTTTTGGGGGGAGGGCCTGTCAGGTTGGCTGTATGGGGCCCCATGGTTACTAACAGCAGCCCTGGTCACCAGTCAGGAATAGAGGGGACATCTGTAAATGGGACACTTGTTGGGGTGTGGCATTTCCCTCACTTTGGAGATATTTTATCTCATTTCCTGTTATGTCTCTGGGACACCATGAGAAGTGAGAAATCTCTCTGACGGGGACACAGACATCAACAAATGACCCCACAGAGGTGCTAACCATTCACTACTCCAGGGTGGGCAACTGTGGCCCTCCAGCTGTTGTAGAACTACAAGTCCCATGAGGCATTGCAAAACTGACAGTTACAAGGGTGACTCCCAAAGGCAGAGGCATGATGGGACTTGTAGTTCACCAACAGCTGGGGGGCCAAAGTTGCCCACCCCTGCCCTACTCCATTCAAAGCTAAAACTATTTCAGCTGGAGTCTCACTTCAAAGCGGTATTGAGCCCCAAATCAAAACATTTATTATATTGCAGATTACCAATTATTAGGTGTGACGGCTGCCTTAGCAGGGGCACTGCCCAAGGGCCCGGGTCAGTAGGGGGCCCCATGAGATGTCCCTGGTACCTTTCATAGGCTTTTTTGGGTGTGGTTTTGAGTGTGGGCGAGGACACAGGGGCCCCATGATCCCCTATTGCCCGGGGGCCCCATGAGTTGTGAATCCACCCCTGTGTCTTAGTTTTCTTTTTTTTAGGCTTTCTTTCTTTCATTTTCATTTTTGGTGATCCAGCCAGTAAGTCTGTTGTTTTTCAAAAGAACAAGCTCTCTTCCAGATGTAACAGTTTACAGGGATGAGACAAACCATTTACCACAGACAGGGGTGCTTACAGTGATCAGCTTTTATTTATTGATGTAAAACTTTTATCCCAAAAAGAGACTGTAACTGACTATAACGTGTGAGCTGTAGTCTGGCTTCAATGTGTTAGTGAATTTAAATCTGCTAGTCCACCTAACACTCCCCTCCCCCAAGACTGACAATGCTGCTGTCTGCTGTGCCCCCTGTGCTCCTTCATCCAGAGTGGGGGCGCTCTAACACAGGAGGTGTGTCACTGGACCGGATCACCGGGTGAAAAAGAAAATGAATGCGACCACCAAATCTAATGATTGGTAAACTGCAATGAATGATATTTCTGGTATCGGGTTTAATGTCCAGTTCATTGGAATGTGAAGTCTGAGGCATGAGGACCGATGTGCCTCCCCCGGGAGGGCGGCCTGGCTGGCTGTGGTCGGTCTAGTTTCCTCGATATGCTAGAATTAGGCTCTTTATCCGTTTTACGTGGAATTAATCCCCCGGAGCTGCTGGAGAATAATTCCCACATTCCAGTACCAGGATCTCACCGCCACAAAGTGTGAAGCTGCAATGTAGAGGAATGCCTACAGCGGAGTTCCCACCTCCACCCACCTGTATTCACAAAGGGGTCTCCTCACTGCCTCCTATGACAGATAATGCAGCAGCAGGGGTGAGACTTCAACACTTGGCTTTGTAACCTCTGTGCTGGGGTGTCAGAGAGAGAAAGAAAACTCTGTGCAGGAATAAAACAGCCCAGGGGATCAAATATTACATTCCTAATTGCTGAGCAGGATTCTGGTCTTACCTCCGACCTCCCCTCCAGTCTGGCACAGGTGTACCGGCTCCTCCCCTTCAGTCTGGCACAGGTGTACCGGCTCCTCCCCTTCAGTCTTGCACAGATGTACTGGCTCCTCCCCTTCAGTCTTGCACAGGTGTACCGGCTCCTCCCCTTCAGTCTTGCACAGGTGTACCGGCTCCTCCCCTTCAGTCTTGCACAGGTGTACCGGCTCCTCCTCTTCAGTCTCTGGCACAGGTGTACCGGCTCCTCCCCTCCAGTCTTGCACAGGTGTACCGGCTCCTCCTCTTCAGTCCTGGCACAGGTGTTCTGGCTCCTCCCCTCCAGTCTTGCACAGGTGTACCGGCTCCTCCCCTCCAGTCTGGCACAGGTGTTCCGGCTCCTCCCCTTCAGTCTTGCACAGGTGTACCGGCTTCTCCCCTCCAGTCTGGCACAGGTGTTCCGGCTCCTCCCCTCCAGTCTTGCACAGGTTTACCGGCTCCTCCCCTCCAGTCTGGCACAGGTGTTCCGGCTCCTCCCCTTCAGTCTTGCACAGGTGTACCGGCTTCTCCCCTCCAGTCTGGCACAGGTGTACCGGCTCCTCCCCTTCAGTCTTGCACAGGTGTACCGGCTCCTCCCCTCTGACAACCAATGATGGGGCACTATTCCTCCCACTGATACCAATTGTGGGGCACTATTCCTCCCACTGACACCAATGATGGGGCACTATTCCTCCCACTGATACCAATTGTGGGGCACTATTCTCCCCACTGATACCAATGATGGGGCACTATTCCTCCCACTGATACCAATTGTGGGGCACTATTCCTCCCACTGACACCAATGATGGGCACTATTCCTCCCACTGATACCAATTGTGGGGCACT